TTTTTTTGTAGATTGGTCTTTCAGTGACAACTATCACTGCCTTTTCTGGGATAAAACAATTCTATTATCCTTTCTTGATGAACTGTAGTCCATATAACAGCACAATATAGATTTTTCCAACTTCCATGTTGACTGTCTTATTGTCTTTATTCATTGGCATAACTTCATTTAAAATTATACCTTTTATGTAAGTATAGCCGAACACTTTAACAGGTACATTTACTAATAATCCAATACACTTGGATAAACAGTATAAATTTGGTTAGTTTTGGGTTTATTTTAAATATAACTTTTCTTTTTTTGGAACCAATATTTTCTGACAACTCTTGTCATCGCTTTTGTTATCAACAAAAACTTATTTTTTTCTCGCATCAAGTTACAAAAAAAATGTTATTCCTAGAATCTTTCATTATTACAAATTTGACAACCTTTTCTTGATTTTAAAATACAGGATGTACTATTTTACATGTTTACGTTAATATAAGTTTATCTAAAGTTATTAAAGGATTATAGTTTACTTTGAATTAAACATCATCTCTCTTTACATCACTGAGTGATATTGGATAAATGTTTTAGTCTAAAAGAGTCCCGCTATTGTTATCTATTCCAAAAATTTAATTTAATTATCTTTACTATTGTAAATCAGTTCACCTTATGTTAGTAAATTCAGTGTCTCGGTTACTTAATTTTTAACTTTTTATATATACAATTTTATAATATACTCAACTAAAGTTTATGACTTCACTATAGTCATTTTAATTGATTTATTACATCTCAATATATAATTCAATTGATAAAGGAAATGTTACTTGCCTAGTGCTGCTTGACTACAGCAAGGCCTTTGACACACTTGATCATCAACTTTTAATAAAAAAACTTTCCTATTTTGGATTTTCTGCACGGGCGGTTAAACTTTTAAAAAGTTATCTTGAAAATCGCACCCAGAAAATTGTCCTGGACGAAGCTGTGTCGAGATCCCTTCCGGTTAAGTATGGTGTTCCACAAGGTTCCATTTTAGGACCACTACTTTTCTCACTTTACATTTCAGATTTTCATCAATTTGTAGAGAATTGTCATATTCATCATTACGCCGATGATTCGCAACTCTACTTGTCTTTTAACCAAGGAAATTCTTTACAAGCTCAATACATCATAAATCTAAATTTAAAAAAATTATATGATATATCGTCAGCACATAATCTCAAATTAAACTCAAAAAAATCTGTCTTTATGCTATTTGGGCCCAATAAAGTTAGAAATCTTCTAATAATTTTAAACTTAGCATAGGTCATGACCCCATTCCACTTGTTTATGATCATAAAAACTTGGGGCTGTGGATTGATTCTGAACTTAGGTTCACAAAACATATTTCTCAACTGTGTCAAAGCTCATACAACGTGTTAAGACAACTGTATCCTAATAGGGATATACTTTCACCCAAACTTAAATTAAAAATGTGTGAATCACTCATTATGTCAAAGTTATCATACTGCGATACGGTATTTGGACCAGCTCTTCTTCAAAGGGATTTAAATCGTCTTCAAAAAATTCAAAATTCGTGTATTAGGTTCGCATACGGTATACGCAAATTTGACCATATTTCACAGAAATTCAAAGAATCAAAATGGCTGCATATCAAAAAATTACATTCTTTGCATATTCTGAATATAACTCACAAAATTCTTAAATATCAAAAACCGAAATATCTATTTAATAAATTCACACATTTCAGTAATAATTACGGAACTCGGAATAAGAGTACGTTAGAAATTCCCAAATTTAGTTCATCCATTGGACAGCGAAGTTTCTCTTACACCGCAGCTAAATTATACAATACACTGCCTAAAGAATTTGGATCGTACACTCTAATTAATTTTAAAAAAAGGTTAAAAGGCTTGATTGTCGGTTTAGGACGGTTCTAATAAAAACAATAATCTCTGTTCATCTCGGATCTGCTCTTTGGTTTTTAATATTTTCTTGGATCTTTACTGAGGTTGAGTTGAAAAACAGCCTATGCTGACACTCCGCCTATTCACCTTTGTTATTTTTATATTTAGGTAGAAAAAAAAATGTATTCTTTCGTTGTTTTTTGTTATGGTGAATAAAGACGATTTATTATTATTATTAAAAAAAAACCAAAAAAGGTTGACAGCTGTGTGCACGTAGTTTAGATTCAAAAGGAAAAACTTGTATTTCGTGCAAAACTTTTTTATTAATCAATGCAAAGCGCTTTTGGCTTATTTGCCATCATCAGTGCTCATCTACAAAAATTGTGGATGTAAACTTACAATTTAAAAAGATTTAAAAAAAAAAAAATATATTATAAAATCTGAATTAGACTTTTAAGTCAAAAGTTAAAATAGTATATATACAATTGTTTGAACAAACTAAAAATTACAAGAAACAAACAAAGTGACAAAAAACTGGTATTGGGAATAGTGAGTGTGGGATAAGCCCTTACAAATCAAATCTGATCTCCAGAAGCAAGTTAGCTTGTGTGGAATTAAGGAATCATGCCACCTTCACTATTCACAAAATTGAAAAAAGGTTAACAAATTAGTTAAAATTTAAAGAAATTTACAATTAGAGGGTGACTGTGGAAGATATATTGAAATTTGAATCTAGAATACAATATTTGATATGAAGAAAGAAACGCAGAAGGCCAAAGTAAAAAACTGAAGGTTTTTTTTATATGTTTTATATACATTATAATTATGAAAAAGTCTACCTACTGTCCACAACGTATCCAACAAGTTCCTGGTCATCCTCACTCCCAAAATTATATATTTCGGGATATTTACAACTTGCTAAATCATAATTTTATTAATATTAATATTTTCAAATTTAAATTTCTCTCTTCATTTTGGTTCAAGTTGTTTAACCGTTTCCACATGACAGTGGTGACAAGCGACACTTGAAGACTTTGACTTGTCAAATGTCAACAGAAGGAGGTGCGTTCACCTCAGTGTGGAACATGTTTCTCCGAGTGCGATTCGAGTGATTGGAGGTTAACGGAGATCAAAATTTGTTATTGAATTTAAAGATTTAATTTATTGTTAGTTAAATTTAAATAAATGTTTAATATAAATGATATTATTATTTTGATGTCTTGACATCCAATCACTCGAATCACACTCGGAGAAACATGTTCCACACTGAGGTGAACGCACCTCCTTCTGTTGACATTTGACAAGTCAAAGTCTTCAAGTGTCGCTTGTCACCACTGTCATGTGGAAACGGTTAAACAACTTGAACCAAAATAAAGAGAGAAATTTAAATTTGAAAATATTAATATTAATAAAATTATGATTTAGCAAGTTGTAAATATCCCGAAATATATAATTTTGGGAGTGAGGATGACCAGGAACTTGTTGGATACGTTGTGGACAGTAGGTAGACTTTTTCATAATTATAATGTATATAAAACATATAAAAAAAAACCTTTAGTTTTTTACTTTGGCCTTCTGCGTTTTACTTTCTTCATATCAAATATTGTATTCTAGATTCAAATTTCAATATATCTTCCACAGTCACCCTCTAATTGTAAATTTCTTTAAATTTTAACTAATTTGTTAACCTTTTTTCAATTTTGTGAATAGTGAAGGTGGCATGATTCCTTAATTCCATACAAGCTAACTTGCTTCTGGAGATCAGATTTGATTTGTAAGGGCTTATCCCACACTCACTATTCCCAATACCAGTTTTTTGTCACTTTGTTTGTTTCTTGTAATTTTTAATTTGTTCAAACAATTGTATATATACTATTTTAACTTTTGACTTAAAAGTCTAATTCAGATTTTATAATATATTTTTTTTTAAATCTTTTTAAATTGTAAGTTTACATCCACAATTTTTGTAGATGAGCACTGATGATGGCAAATAAGCCGAAAGCGCTTTGCATTGATTAATAAAAAAGTTTTGCACGAAATACAAGTTTTTCCTTTTGAAATTATTATTATTATTATTTTCATTAAAACTGGCTAGCTCCACTATCTTGAGTTTGACATATTTGACGTAAAAGTGTAAAATTCTATCTCAATGACGCAGACGGTTCTTGCGCACGTGCTGTTTGTTGTATGCGTTTTAGAACATTTATGTGCATAAAGTCGGATAAAATCGTGAGTTTTATGTTAACGATAAATAGAAAAAATATTCCAAAATGGTACCTAATAGGTAATTTGAATTGTTTACATTTCCTATGATGGCGCAATAACAAAACGTGAATGGCAACGTTGAGATTGGCGCATTAAGGGGAAGTTGAGTCTGGGTATTATTAAAAATATATTCGCTAATAGTTAACTTATTATAGTTGTATATTAAATTTATTTATTTCGTAGAGCGGGAAAGCACAATTGTTATATTTAAAGTGTTGTATTTTAATATTAAGAAATTTGTAATGTTTAGATAAACATAATAGGTATTTTTAAATATACATATATTGCCAAGTAAAATATTTGTTAATATCTACTATACCTTACTGTAACAAATGTTTTGTTAAAGAAATGTGAGATATTTATTAATAATTATAATATTATGGTATTAATAAATTTCCTCAGTTAATATTTAAAGAATTCCTTCCTAACTTAAAATATTTTAAATATAAACTACTTTTTTCTCTCAGTGTACAATTCTAGTCTTTCCTGCGCGTATACGCGCTCAAGAAGAATATATTGTATTGTATATATACGATACACGTTGATATTTTATCTTTCTGGAAATGTTTTTTTTTTTAATAAGTCGCTTCAGAGTATTCGACTAAAGTTAAAGACATAAACACCAATTAAGTATGAAAAAATAGAAATAAGAATTGCAGTCATCACGAAGTTTCAATCGTACTGTATGTGCGAGCCAGCATGTTGAAGTTTGTGGAAGAGCCACACTCAAGGGGCCAAAGAGCCGCATGCGGCTCGCGTGAATTAAATTTTTAAAAATTAAATGTTTCCCAGTCCCGAAGATCTCCAGAAAATTCGGGTATTTCAATCTTTGGAAGTCTAGGTAAACTATGACAAGCACATCGAACCTGGAGGGTGTATCAGTTCGCAACTGATCTGCAATTTCTTTATATTACAATAAATGTCGTCTATTGTTTGATAAATCGCGAAATTCGGAACAAATTTTTCATCAACTTCTAAATTCTTATCACTTTCCATTTCTACTGTTTCTAATAACTTTTGTCGAGTTTCTTCTAAAGATCTATACAAAATTTCAAAAATTTTTCGATGAGCCGCGTCGTTAACTTTTTTAGATAAATTATAAAGACGTTGCAAAGAACAAAATAAGGCCTGTTTTTTGGCAGTCAAAATCATTGGTTGTCTCTCTTCCACTCCAGGCATTTTTAGAAATTATAAAACTCGACAAAATATTAAATTAAATAATGTTAAACTATTTCTCTATTAAACATTTATAATTAGACCTATAATAAGCGGTAAAGAATATACACATTTGTCACCAAAAACCCAAACATTCAAATTTTGTTAAAGATTAAGAGCTGAAAACCGACCTCTAAAAAACTAAAAAACTCAAAATGCCAACTTTAGGGATAGGGTTAGGGAAAGAAAGGAAAGTGCACAATTAATTATAATTGCATTAACTACTAAGGACCCCGCACAGCGCTTATGGAAAAGTGGTGATCTGTTAAATGTCATAAATTTTTGATATGTTGCAGTTCTCGATCTCCTAAGCAATAGTGTCTAAGACTCTAAGGGACCATTCAAGTCCTATGACTGGTTTCTAAGATACAGGGTGTTAAACTTGAGAAAATTGAGAGCTAATCGATTATCATTTTTTGTGCCAAATCTTATTGTAACATCTTTTGGCATTCTACGAATATAAAAAGGGGTAAAAATTATTTAATTTTACAAGGTGGGCCAAAAATAAGTAAGGACATGTTTTTGATAAATACTTTTATTGTTCTAGAAGGTAAAAATATTTACTAAAAAATAAATTATTGCTATATTTATTATATTTGATAATAATATAAAAGATATTAGGTACCATTTATACAGGGTGATTCGTAAATATCGACATAGGCCAATTTTTAATTTTTTAAGTATTAATGTGAAACGCAGTATTTTTACGAGACTTTTGTGTATTTACCATATGTATAATTATTTAATTCATTAACAACAGGGTGACTTAATAAAAATACTGATGGTTAATTTATCGAATGTGTCAAAAATACAATTTTTTTTAAGCACCCAATACTTTTTGATTAGTCCTGTAAAAGTAAACATATTTTTTTACTGGAGTATCATCCGTCCTGTAACAGATATTTTTTGAAATTACAGCTTTTTTCTATGATTGGTTTTTGAGATACAGGGTATTAAACTTAAGAAATACCACTTACTAGATAACGGTTATTTCAGGAGAAAGCTAAGCGATTATGATTTTTTTTACCAAATAATATTGTAACATCTTTTCACATTCTACGAATATAAAAAGAGATAAAGAATTATTTTCCTGTACAGAGTGAGCTACAAATAGGTAAGGACGTGTTTTTGATAATTACTTTTATTGTTCTAAAAGGTAAAAATATTTAATAAAAAATACATTATTACTATATTTATCATGTCTGATGATAATACAAAAGATATTAAGTACCATTTATACAAGGTCATTCGTAAATAACGACATGGGCCAATATTTTTTTTATAAGTATTAATGTAAAATACAGTATGTTTACGGGACTTTTCTGTATTTACCATATGTATAATTCATTAACTACAGGGTGATTTGATAAATATATTGATAGTTAATTTAACGAATGTGTCAAAAAAATAATTTTTAAGCACCCTATACTTTTTGATTAGTCCTTTAAAAGTAGACATATTTTTACTTTCCTATCTGTATACAGATATAAGGAAAGTATAGGAATCATGATTTTTTTCGACGCGTGTGTGTGTGTGTGTGTGTGTGTGTGTGTGTGTGTGTGTGTGTGTGTCGCATAACTCATGAACCAATACACCGAAAAACACCAAATTTTAAACTTAAGCTTTGTTCCAGCGTCCAATGTGCTGATTAGATTTTGGGCAGTGTCGGAACATCTGGGTGGGTACTTTATGGGTGGTCATTTTTATATTTTATGGAATATATCTGTTATTTACGTTTGGAGAAAAAAATTTTTCAAATAAAAGTTAATTCTTATATTATTGTCTAAAATTTTTGTTCTATACAAAATTTTCCTAAAATGGTCCGTATTCGAGAAATTTGACAAAATGTAAAAAAATATTTTTTTATAAAAATTGTTTAAACAAAAGTTGTTTGTAATATAATTATCTATCAATTTTATTCTATACATAATTTCTCTAAAATGGACCTTATTCGAGATATTTGAGAAAATGTGTAAATTTAGAAATTTGAAGAAAACTCAAAAACGGATAAAGAAAAAAACATTAAATTTTAAACTTAAGTTTTATTTCGGCCTAAGGTGAAATGATTAGATTTTGGACAAAATCGGAACATCTGGGGGGTACTTTATGGGGGGCCGTTTTTATATTTTATGGAATATATCTGTTATTTATGTTTGGAGAAAAAAATTGTTTAAATAAAAGTTATTTCTAATATTATTATCTATAATTTTTGCTTTATGTCAAAATTTCCTATTCGAGAAATTTGACAAAATTCTGATTTTTATGAAAATTGTTAAAATAAAAGTTGTTTGAGATATCGATCTCTATAATTTTTGTTTATACATGATTTTTCTAAAATGGACCGTAATGGAAAAATTGTAGGAAAAGTGCTAAATTTAAATTTATCAGTATTTTCATTTTCAATGAATATCTATAGAAAAATGTCTAGGTGGATGTATGTGGAAAATGTATATATTTATTTTATCCTCTAAACATTTATGAAGGTGCTGCAATAGGTTGTACAAAATAACCGGAAAAAGCCCGTAATAACTAGATAGGAAAGTCATGTGTTGGACACATCAGATTTTTTCACTGGCGAATCAATTATCCTATAGAAAATATTTTTCAAAATTAGAGTTTTTTTCTGATAAGTTTTTGAGATACGGGGTAGGGGGTTAAACTTAGAAAATTACAATTTTTTATTACCAGTTACTACAGGAAAAAGCTATACAATTATAATTTTGTGTGTCTACTATTATTTTAACATCATCTGTCACTCCACGAATATACGCAGAAGTCCAAAAATATTTCTCTCTACAGGGTGAATCGTAAATAATTAAAAAAAATTAATTATTCCTATATTTATCATTGTTAACGATAATACAAAATATTTTAGGTGCTATTTATACAGAGTGATCCGATTTTTTAAATGAATATGAAACTCCGTATTTTTAGTTGACTTTTTTGTATTTTTTTATAATATTAACATATGTAGAACTATCCAATTTATTGATTACATGGTGATTAAATGGATAGATTAATAGTGTGTCAAAAAAATTTGATAAATCACCCTGTACTTCTAGTCCTATAAAGGTGTTTTTTTACTGGTGTATTAACCATTTTGTAGAAAATAAATTCCAAAAAATTACAGCTTTTTAATATAATAGGTTTTTGAGATACAAGATTTGACTTGAAATACTTACTTTTTGTTACCTGTTATTCCAGGAAAAAGCTAATCAAGTGCAATTTTTTGGCATTCCACGAATATACACAGGGGTTAAAATATGTTCTTCCATAAAATTAGTCGCAAATAAGAAAAGATATGGTAATTTCTTTTATTGGTCTGTCTATGGGATGAAAATGTTTCCCGAAAAATAAATTATTGGTAGATTTTTCGTTTTTAATCACCTAACAAAATATTTTATGTAACATATTATAGAGGTTGACTAATAAAGATCAACGTAGACCATTATGTTTTAATGTGATACGCAATATTTTTAAGTGACAGGTATGTATATGTATCTACAATAGTTATATTATTGTACAAGTAAGTATTGAATTATTAACATATCTATAACTATCACTTTCATTTATACACGTAGTAATTTGTTAAATATATTAATACTTGTTCTATCGAATAACATGTTTTGGATATTGTCTTTTATTGTTTATGTGGTGAAATTATTCTCGTATACTTATAAAATAAAATGAATTATTACTAGATTTATTGCTTAAATGAGAAAAAACACGTTACATACATATGATATACACAGGATGACAATGCTGACGAGGGGCCATATTTCCTTTCATTAGCGGTAATGAAATTAGATTATATTTTATACAGGGTGACTTAATTAATATACCGTAATCTGGGGTGAGATCGGACAGGTAGTACGAGTTCGGACAATGGTGCGCGGCGTGGGAAATCACGTGACCACGAGCACGTTTTTCATTGGCGAAGTTTTTTGCATGTGTTTACATGTCCAATATTGTCTCATTTCACTCTAGTTAGGTAGAAATTGCCGCTAGAGAAAGTTTGTGGTAAGTACGGGATATTTTGATATGGGTCGTAATTTGCATATTTTTTATAACGTTAGAAACAAACATCTGGGGGAAGGGATCTGTAAGCAATTAAATCGTAATTTTTCATATAATGTAGGTTTATATGTTTTCTAATGATTCATGAATAATTATTATTTATTTTTTCATTCCCGAATTTTTTTTTCTTGTTATAGAAAAAATATAGCTTTTCGTGGGGCGAGTTCGGACACCATGCCCAGAAATTACAGGCGTCCTCTTGGCGTAAAACAAAGATCCAACTATGCCAAAGAGGCTTTAAATAAGGCTGTTAAAGATGTCAGGACTAAAAGGAAGACCCTGAGGAAGGCAGCAGAGTTCTACAACATACCAAAATCGACAATAAATAACAAAATGACAGGTAAGCACGCTAAAAAAAGTGGCGGGCAAACCAAATTAAGCCAAGAACAAGAGAGTGAACTGGCACAAGGAATTTTAACTTTCCCTTAACTAGGCTGGATATTCGCCTAATCGTCAAATCATATTTGGACAGATCCGGAACAAAAATCACAGGATTTAAAGACAACATGCCCGGGGAAGATTGGTTTTATGGATTTATGTTTAGACATAAAATTTTATCGGAGCGCCTTGCACAAAATATCAAGAGGAGTAGAGCAGAAGTCGATAGGCAAAAAGTTCAAGAATATTTTGATAACCTTCAGGCTGTTATGGGACCTATTCCTCCAGAGAACATAATTAACTATGATGAATCCAATTTAACTGACGATCCTGGAAGATTAAAGGTCGTTGGTAAAAAAGGATCCAAACATATAAATAGAATTATTGGTTCTTCTAAAAGCAGCACGTCAATTATGATGGCTGCTAGTGCTTCAGGTGTTTTGCTGCCTCCGTATATCATATACCGAGCTCTTCATATTTACCCAACTTGGATAGAAGGGGGCCCAGAA